GTGACGAAGAAAAGCTCAGTCAGGCGGACTTTTCTAGTTACTGTGAAGGAAATAAATCATGTTCACCCGATGTCTCTCTTACCCCTCTCCCCAAGCGTTCGAATTAAACTAGGGCCAGACAGGGGGTCACCGTTAGCTAGCCGGGAAAATCGGACAAACGACCTAAAATGTCAAATACATACATACAAATAATAATAATAATAATAATAATAATAATAATAATAATAATAATAATGATTATGATTGCCGGTCAGATGGCTGAGATCGATACGGCAGTAGTGCCATAGCGATCTCGGACCAGAAGATCACGAGTCCCGTCTCGGACATGGGTGTATTTGTGTATGTATGTGAATGCCGACCTTTCACCCCTCACTATCATCATATTCACTCCATATGCCCTCATGACTAACAACCTTGGGGAATAGAAATCGGATCCAGGTAAATGATGATATCCCCAACTAAAGTTTCCTTTGAAATTCGTGCTTTCTCGTTGACATTAGTGAATCGCTAGAAACTCCGGTTTTAGTTTTTAATTTATTTCATTTCTCCACCTGCGTCACGTTACTGAATTTTAAATATGCGTTATCGCAGTTTTAGTCATTGTGGACCAATTCGTGAATCCTACTGACTAGAAGAAAACGGTTAATTAGTTATGAACCTAAAAGGAATTAATTGAAGAATAAATATATATATGTATATATAATATTATATATATATATAATATATAGTTATATATATATAACAACCAGCAACCTGAAGATTATTTCAAAAAAATTATTGAGTAGAAATTAATAAGGAACAGTGACCATTTTAAATATCGGTGCCCGGGATGCGAATCGTAAAAGAGTAGAATGCTATAATTTTACAAAGAGCGAACAATTGGGGATTCAGCCGATATTGAAGTTGTTGAAATAATATATGCACAGACTGTGGAGTGTGAAATAGTAGCACTTAGAAATGTTCGATGCCGAAATACATCAATAAATTAGAACATTGGGGATTCCTAGGGCATAATAAACATAGGTGCGATTGGGGACGTTTGGACATTTACTCGAAATCTACCACTTTTTATTTTGGAAAAGCGTACCACGACGAAAATACAAGCGACATGGATAGCCAATGGGTGTCACAATTTCTAGTGCAATGTGTAGGCGTCGATTAACCATAGCATGGCGTCAGGAAATTACAAATTACACCGAATACGCAAAATTATACTAAAATGTGGTAAAACAAACGGAAAACAAAAATCACATGGAGAGAAACATGATTTTGTCAGAAGACAATTTGGGTCGCCGATGTGAACACATGAAAAATATATTTTGGTGCCGTCGGCAAGTACATGTAAGCTAGCTAGTTTATTTAAATAAGTGTCGGGCAGATCTGGAACGTTTAATTGGTTTGAATAAACGAAGTCAGTTCTCGATGTAGGGATGTTCATCTAAGGCTTTCGCGAATGACAATATATATTAACAGTAATTTTAACATAAACGGTTATTGTGATCGGCGCGATTCTTCAGGCCAGGTTTTCTTAACTTCGGCAGCCACGGACGACGAGGGAGGACATCAATTTCTAAACTTGAAGCACCACGAAAAAAAACATCTTGCAATATAGGCCAATGCATTATTTACCAAAACGTGTTAGATAATTTAAAAAAAGTAAAGGCCTATAATATGAGCAAAATATCTATTCAATTTGATTGCATGCCGAATAACCTACTCAGTTAAAACACAAGTCACTCATTCTTTAGCAACGGTTTGCTGGCTAGCTCACTGGCAAGGCTCACGTTACTCACTAGTAAAACTCAAGTCTCTCTCCTAGCAAGGGGGTCAGGTTCAACTAATACAGCAGATGCGCACTCACTCACTAGTAAGACTCAGTCACCTCAATCGGCTAGGCTCAGTCCACTCATGCGGCTAGGCTCAGTCACTCTCCAGCAAGGCTCAGTCACTCTCCAATCCAGCAAGGCGCTCAGTCACTCTCACAGCAGGCTCAGGTCACTCTTCCAGCAAGGCTACAGTCACTTCCAGCAAGGCTCAGTCCACTCTCCAGCAAGGCTCATCACTCTCCAGCAAGGCTCAGTCACTCCTCCAGCAGGCTCAGTCACTCTCAGGCAAGAGCGCTCAGTCACTCTCCAGCCAAGGCTCAGTCACTCTCGCAGCCAAGGCTAGTCACTCTCCAGCAAGGCCTCAGTCACTCTGCAGCAAGGCTGCAGTCACTCTCGAGCCAAGGCTCAGTCTACTCTCCAGCAAGCTTCAGGCACTCTCCAAGCAAGGCTCAGTCACTCCCTCACCGCAGGCTCAAGAATCCTCTCGCCTCCAACAAGGCTCAGTCACTCTCCAGCCAAGGCTCAGTCACTCTCCGCAAAGCTCAGTCACTCTCTTCAGCAAGGGCTCAAGCATCTCCAGCCAAATACAACTCACGACAGCACGCTTCTCTCTGCTGAAGGGGCGACTAAAGGTAGCTCATTCGTCGTAACAAAGCAAAGTTGTTCAAGATTCGCAAACATCACCAAAATATCCATGCTTCTTCAAGTAGTCGTTTCTTTAAGTTGACGAATTTCTGGTACAGCTCGCAGACGCATTGAGGTTCAAGTCTCCTTCCAAAGACGCGCGCCTGGGGCTTCTTGCACAACTACCTCCGCGCCCCCACATCTCCAAATGCAAAGGAGCTGCCAAAAAGCCCGCTGGTTGCATCGATCTTCAGGCGCGTGTAACGGGCGCATAGAAGGGTGTCACCTGAAAAAAGTAATAATAATAAATAGATTAATGAATAATAAGTTATTATAATGATAATAATAATAAATATAATAATAATAATAATATAATTTAATTAAATAATAATAATAATAAAATGAATAAATAATAGTCCAAGGTGCACTTGGTGGGCAGATTAACTAGATTCCGCCCAGTGATTCGATTCGCGGTTCGGCAGTCTGCGGTCAGAGAAAAAGATAGAATTGTAAGACTTTCACTTTAAAACTGTCTGTTTCTGTAACTGTGGACGAAGAAAAGCGCAGTCCAGGCGGACTTTTTCTGGAGTTACTAGTGAAGGAAAAATTCATGTTCCGTCCCATGTATCTTGTTACCAACTCTCCCAGGCGTTTCGAATTAAACCAAGGGGCCAGACAGGGGGTCCACCGTTACCGTGTCGTAGGCCGGGAAAATCGGACAAACGACCAAAAATGTCAAATACATCATACATACAATTAATAATAATAATGAATAATAATAATATATATATATAATTATATAATATACACATATACATGTAGTCTGTGTGGTATCCATGTGAAACCAAAAACTTTTGAGATAAACAAGTATAATAATAATAATAATAATATAATAATTAATAAGAATAATAATAATTAATAATAAATCAATAATCAATGAATAATAATAATCAGGCCCTGACAGATGGGCTGGATCATTACGGCAGTAGAGTCCGTGCGATCTCGGACAGAAGATCACGAGTCCCGCCTCGGGACATGGGTGTTTGGTGTATGTTCTGTAATGTGAATGACCGGCTTTCATCACCCTCACTATCATCATTTCGGTCATCCATAATGCCCCATGACTAACAACCTTGGGGGAATGAAATCGGATCCAGGTAAATGATGATATCCGCCAACTAAAGTTTACCTGAACCCTGCCACTGGTACTAGAAAATGTAGCAGAAACCCGAAGGATTATGGTACTGAAACTGGTAAAGTGCAAAGTGCCAAATGCACGTGGTGGTTCAACGTCGGCCTATACGCGAGCAAAAATAATATTTGCAACGGCGCATTAGGCATTTTATGATCGATTTAATCCGACTTTAGGCCAGCTTAGCTTCTCAGCTGCCGGGCCCAGTTTTTTATTTATCGCCACGACTTATATTTCACACGGGCTATCATTATCCACGCCTGGGGGTAAAGGATGCGAGGTATTCTCTCCCGTATATAGCGCACTTGGCACGCCCTGAGCGTTTCTTTTGTCACACAGCTAGCAGACACTGTGACGAACTGTAATGGAAAGTTACAGCTTCAATTTTTG